GGGGGGGGACGGGCGCATGAATGCCCTCACGGCGCGGCGGCGTGAGCCGACAGCCGCGAGCGGCGGCGCAGCGCGGGCAGTGAAGCTTGGCCCTGCCGATCCCCAGAGTGTGCCCGCGGGCGCCCCTCCCGCGGGCGTGAGCTGCGTGCAGCCGCCGCCATGCGCACCAGCACCTTTGTGCACCCCGTAGCCATGGATACCTTCCTTTCTCATCCGCGCGCCCCCGCTCCTCCCCGCAGACACACACGTCACTCAACATAGCAGTCCTGACACCCACGACACGAGCCTCGGCATCCAACACACCGGCAAAAACTCAGATCAATGATTTGAGCGATCCAGATCGCACACCTCTTTCCCTCCAAAACCAGCTCGATGAAGTCGTCGCTGTTCAGCAGCCCCTCCAGATCGTACCCCGTCTCCTCCATGACCTGGCGGGAGGTGGCCCAGGAACGCCCGATGGACGCCCGATTGGGCATGTCGGTTGGCAGGTGCTGCCGTCGTGATGGCGACCAGGAGGAATGCCACAGACAGCGGACTTCGAACCTCGCCCTGATGTGCGCCACCTGGGCAGCGGAAGCCTTGCCGCGCCGTCCCTTCCCCCTGCAACGCAGAGGGCGGGTTGCCCACTGCCGCGGCCGCGCGTGGGTCCAGTCCACCCACCCCTCACCTCCCGAACTGCGCAGTCCGCGTCGCTCTCGTCCTTCATGATCTTGCCCCTGGAAACGAGCCCAGGCACAGTGTTTAGGGGCGCTCAGGCCGGTGCAGCAGGGCAATCATGACTAGCGATGGCGCAGGCGCACCATAGCATTGACACCAGAGCCGCGCCCCGCAACCGCCGGCGGTCGTCCGGCTCCCACAACGAAAAGACCTCGCCCCCGGATATAGTCATTCATCGTTCGATTATGCCACTCCATTCAAGCCGCCCCAGCCAAGCAACAGGCAGCGGCCAAACGAACGGGGGCCAACCGTCCCGCCGCCACCACCACCCCTGCACGCCAAGACCCCGCACACGGTCCGCCACCGCAGATCCCTCGGAACGCCAGCAGCCCGCGCCGTCGACGCTTCACGCCAGCAGCGAGCGCGCGGCTCTCTTGGTCAGAGCGAACGCCCCAGCAACGAACGGTCAAAGACAAACGGCACGATCTGGGATCGAAACAACACAACCTCGGGAACCGCGATGGCGGCGGCGGCCCACCTGGGGAAGCCCCAGCAGCTGGCGCCCTTGAAGCCGCGCACCAGCAGCACGTGCTCCATGCGCGCGTCCAGCAGTATGGCGCCCATCACGGGCACATTACGCTTGAACTCCTTGAACATGGCCATGATGTCTTCAAGGGACCCCTTGGGGGGTGGGTGTGGGGGCGGGGAGGAAGGCGTCAGTGAGTGAAGTAAGGGGATGGGGTTGTTGGAGGGGTGGGTGCGGGGGGAGGTCGAGGGCGCGTCGCAACGGCGTGCTGGAGGGACCCCTGGGGAGGAGGATGGGGCTGGAAAGGGGGTTTAAGCGGGGAGGGGGCGGGATGCTGCTGGGTCGAGGTGGACAGGGCGGAGGAGTGGGGTTTTGGATCTGCCTCTATGGACCCTCGAGGATCGGGGCCGTTGCTTTGGCGGTGCGGCTAGCTTCTGAGTAAAGGCGGGCCGTGTGGAGGCGTCGCGCCTCGCCCCGACGGGCTGCCGCGGCGGCGCGCTCCGCCCATACCGCGGCCCGCCTTGTTCCGACCCAGCCAGCGCTAGGGCAGGGGCGGCGGCCCGCGGCCGCGCCGCGGCAGCAGCTGCGGCGCAGCTGCTCACCACGTGCTTGCGCAGCTCGGGGCATGTTCGGAACACGAGCTCCGCAAAGTCTCTGAGGTTGTATGATCTCAGGTTGTTGGTGTCCTTCACATTGTCCTGGGAGGCAGCAGGGTGGCAGTTTTGAGGTGCGCGGTGCGCCAACAGCAAAGGGCCGGAGCGCGTTTTGGAGGCGAGCGCGCCGGCTCGCGAGCTCGCGGGGTCAGACGGGCCGCTGCAACGGCCAGGACGGCCGCGAAGCTCCTGGAAAGAGAATGGCCCCGCCGCCGCGCCGGCTACAGTGTCAGCCTTGTCCAGCCCGCCAGTGCCTGCAAGCAGCCGCGCGCTCCGGCGTCCCCGCTGTGTGCTGCCGCTGGTTTGGCGCGCGTGTGCCGATTTGGCCACGCATTACCTCGTAATACCACCAGGCCTGCTCCACCAGAAACATGAGGCTTTCAAAAAACCTGCAGGGGCGCACAACGGCTGTCAAGAGGGCGGGCAGACACAAACCCAGGCGGAGGTGACAAGCAGCGGAAGCAGCAGAGGAGCACGGGCGGCGCGCGACAGTCATAGTGCGCACTCGAGCTGTTCCGAGGGCGCCGTGAGGATGAAGCGCGTGGTGATGTCCTCTATTATGTCCTTGCTTGGTTGCGCCATGATGGCTGTCAGGATATAGCGGGTATGTTCTGATGTCTGCAGATCATGCGCGAAGAAAGAGGTTTCGTTTTGCAATCTATAATAACTGAAACGGTAGGCTCGTCGCCGACCACCACTCATCAGCCTCACATCCTTGCCGTTGTGCGTTGTTTGCACAGTCGCACTGCAACCTGCCCAGTGAAGGCTCTGGCTGTTCCTGGCCCAGCCGCTGCTGTGCATATGCACCCAGCGTCCCCAGCCGCAGCTGCTCTTTGGCATCCGGGATGTAGAACCAATTATGTCTTCCATCTGTGCTGCTTGTGGTGCTTGGTCTGGGGCTGGTCTTGTCACCCCATGTACAGTATAGCTTTGTTTCCTGTCAATGGCAGGGTGGCCACGCCCATCGTAAAAGGGGTCTGGGACATTATCTCACAGCGCATGTCCCCCCAGTAGCACATTGGTTGGATTTGCACACAAGTGCACACGCGGCAGCTAGGCCTCTGCAGCAATGCACCCACCGGTGCCCACTGCCCAGAGGTGCTTCGAGAGCATCTCGCAATTTCAAGGCTTGCTGAAGTAGTGAAGAACCGTGCTGAAATGATAGTGTCGCGGACTGCCTTTGTCACTGATTGCTGCTATGAACATATTGGAACCCTGGATGTTGGGCCCCTGGGTCCCTCCAAGGGAGTACACCAGCAGCGGCAACGGCACCAGCTGGATGTACCCGAGCTGTGCAGCTGGTAAGCAATCAAGAATTTTAGCTTGGATCATCTAGCTGCTTGAAGGCACCAGCACAGCTCGAAGGGGGTTCACACCCTGCCGTGGCAGTGGCTGGTTGTGGTCCTTGCCACCACCCAGTGCCTATGGCGCTCGACCCGCATCATGATTGAGACATGCGTTCGTTGAAGACCCGAGAGAGGTGCATGGGCTGTGCCCATGCCAGGAGTTGAAATCATGTCGCGCGCATGGCTGAGGCCGAGCTCACCATGGCCAGCTCACCATGGCCAGCAGAGCACCAGCAGGCGCACAAGGAACCAACAGCGAAAGGGGCATGGGTGGGACAAAGAAACCCGTGCAGTTCATCCTCTATAAAGGACCTTTCCATTTGGCGTCTTCAAAAGCCCATCAGCATTGTTGCTTGCCGCGGGCGCGAAGGTCGAGATCGCCTGCAAGAGCTTTCGGGCTCTCGTGTCGGCTAGGTGAGGATGAAGATTTGCGTCAGCATGGCAAGGCAGCGCTTGCAGGGCTGCTCATGCGGTGCTGCAGCCCTGACGATCGCGGATGGTGCGGGACTCAGGCGCGGGGACGCTCTGTCGCTCCCAGCCCAGCCAGCACAGCCTACACGCCACTTTCAAACGCGTCACGGTGCCGCATCCTTATCATGCAGGCAGCCATGGCGACTACGCAGGTGGAGAGCAAGCTGGGCAAGTCGCTTGAAGCCCTCATCGCCGACGCGCGCAAGGACGCCAAGAAGTCGCCAGCGAAGAAGGGCGCCGCCAAGGTGGGATCCTGATCAAAAGGAGCGTGTGGCAGGACGCTGCCTCGGCCGCGCACATGCGTGATGTGAGTGCGCCGGAGCGGACTGCAGCGCAGCCGACGCCCCTCGTCCCAGCTGGCGGGCTGCAGCCGCAACGCGGCACGTCGGGGCGTAATGCCGCCCGTGCGATTCCAGGCTGTGCGCCGCTGGTGTTGTCCCTGACGACAGCACGGTTTTGCTGGCGGCTGCTGCGACGCAGGGCGCCGGCTTGGCGCTCAAGGCCACGCCCAAAGCCCTGAAGAAGCGGTGAGTGCAAGGCGTCTCTGAGCGCAGCAGCCTGCGCTGTCTATGCTTCCCAGATGCCTCACCCGCTTGCATGCTTGCATCCCCAGCGCCTGCCGCCCCTCGTCCCCATGCAAGCTCTCGCATGCCTGGCCTGGCGCCCGTGCCCCTGTGCAAGCTTTCGCACGCCGTGCCTAATGCCCGCAACCCCGCCCCGGCCCACCTTCCTCGAGCCAGGGGCGGCGGGGCCAAGCCCGCTGCCAACGGCGGCGGCGGCGGCGGTGCGGCCAAGGTCATCATCATGCAGAACGGCCAGCAGACGACAGTCAAGGACCTGACAAAGAAGCAAAAGAAGCAGTTGGTCGAGCTTCTCGGGACGAACGCGGCCAACGGCTCCGGCAGCGGCGGCGACGGCCCCGCGCCCGCCGGCGGGGAGGGGGCGAAGAAGAAGAGGCCGCGGGGCGGCGCCAGGGAGAAGCTCAAGAAGCTGAAGCAGGCCGCGGCAGCTGGTGCGGGCGGCGTGCACGGAGGCGCACGCGGCGGCGGCGGCGCCCCTGGCGCGAAGGCTCGGCCGGGGCCGCTGATCGCGGCGCCGCTCGGCGTGCGGGCCGGTGGGGTGCAGAAGGCCAAGCGGAGCGGCGGCGGCGGCGGCGGCGGGGGCGGGCCCAGTAGGGTTGGTGGCGGCGGCGTTGGCGCCATCAAGGTCAGGATCCCGACGGCCTCCGGCTTCCAGGAGGTGGTGCGCGGCGGCAGCGGCAACGGCGGCGGCGGCGGTGGCGGCGGCGGCAGGCGGCGCGGCAGCGGCGGGCGCAGCGGGCGCCGGTGAGCCCGCAGCGCCTCGGCCGCGCGGGTCATTTGGGCACGCGTGCATATGCAGGGTGGCGCGCGAGCGCCGGCTGTACTTGTCCCCTTGGCTTTGAACCTTACGCCACATTCCTTGTTCAACAAGTGCCGATGAGCTCCAGCATCCCGGGAAGGTCCGTTGCAGGGGAACCGCCCCGCGGCCAGCCGGGAGCGTCGGGCGCTGCAGCCGCCCCCCTGATGCCGCTCGATTTCAGCCGTGGCAGGCCCCTGCCGTGGCCGGCCGCGACACATGCTTGCCTTTGCACGCCCCTTGCGAGTGCTCAGGTCTTGCACACTTTTTTGAGTCCTCAGTCATTGACTCCTTCTTTAGACCTCATGATCGATTTTTCCTGCCTGTAATAACGCAGTGACACCAGCATTTATAGCCTGGTCACGACAGCATCCAACCAACCCAACAGACACACGAGGGTTACCAGTGCGCACACATACATGCAGGCAGGGTTGGTGGTTCAGAGGGCAAATCAAAGGCCGGCGTGACAGCGCAGATTTTCAATGCGATGGGGTTCAAGGCCGGGGAACCGCCTAGAGCGGGCGCTGCTCGACGCTCGCACACAGCAGCACGAGTGTCTGCCATTGCACAACGACCAGGCGCGGAAGGCCCCGCCGCGCTGGGCCACGCGCCGCAATCGCTGCATCCCAGCCCGCACGATTCGCCGTTACCTGCCGGGGGCGCCGCGCGCGCAGTGCCGGCCTAAGGCTCAGGCCCCGCCTGCTGCTGCGACGACTAAGCAAGGTTGATGGGCTCAGCCTTGGCAGCAAAGTTTTAGGAGAGACACAGCCATGCAACGGCCAGCCCGGGGCGCGTGGCTTGCGGGTTCGAAGTGCAAGCAGCTGTCGGCGAAGCGGTGCGGTGGCGGCGCAGAGGGCGCCGCGCCATGCAGCCGCGCGCAGCGTCGCTCGTAGGTGCGGACAGCAAGGGCTGGTTGACGGAAGCTCGCGGGCTCTGAGTTGGGCAGGCACAGCCTCCCTTGTCCGCAGGAAGAGCTTCGCTCTGCGCTCAGACCAAAGCGCCGGCAGTATGAGCACATGCGGATCAAGAAGCAGATGCCGGCATGCATGCAACAGGGAAACGTGCAGACGCAGCAGCCTCGCGGCATTGGGGACGCCGGCCGAGGCGGGCCCCCGGCGCAGCCGCACGCGCCAGGGTGGCGCGCGCGGGGCGGGGGGCGCTGCCTTTGCCCAGGTGGGGCGGGAGCGCGAGTTGCCCTGGGAGGCGGCGCTTGCGGCGGGGATATGCGAATAGGGGCACCCAACCCCTGAGCAGGACGGTCGGTGATCTGCAGAAGCTTGTGCCACTTTGAAACATCCGATTATGACCACGACACGCGGATTCCATAAGTTGAGGTGGTCCAAACCCACAAACCCAAAACAGGCACAAAGCCTGGACACGTGCAGCCACCACCCAGCTTGCTGCTGCTGCTGCTGCGGCAGTAGCACGTGCTGCTACTGCTGCTGCTGTTGCTGCTGCTGTAGCACAGTGGAGTGAAATCGGGCGCAGTGCCCGCAAAGCCCCTTCCCCTGCCTCCCCAGTTGTGCCCCTCGAAATTGATCCCAGAGATGTGTGTAAGAGTGCGTATCCTCTCTTGTGGTGTGTGTCAATGACTCCAATGGTCGGCAGTGCTTGGTAAGATGGGATGAAGCTCGCTTGGTGGTACACTGGAGGGGCCGCGCCGCGGCCGCGCCGCGCAGGTCGCACGGCGCGTGCGTGGCTCGGGCCCCTCGCCGCTCCGCGCTCAACCGCCCGCCCTTTCCCCATCTTTCGAGCGCCGGCCGAGTGCCGGCGCCTGCTGAGTTGTGGGGGAGTCCCCCATAGGATGCCCCAGACCCAGCTCATTGCAGCCAAACAGCCCGTCATGGTTAAGCCAACGTTGCCTTGCGCCCCGCCGGGCAAATCGCTGACCCAGGCACCGCCTGTACGGAGCCGCAGCCGCCGCGGCCATGCCGCTGCGCTGGCTGCCGGCCGCGCACCCTGGGCGGCGAGAGCGCACGCTGCCCAGCCGCCTCGGGGGTGAGGACAAGGCGCCTTCCGCCCCTGTCGCCAGCACGTCACTACTGCGGCCGCTCAAGCGGCTGCTGTGGCTGCTGCTGCTGCTGTGGCGGCGGCGGGCGCGGCGGCAACTGCTGCTGCTGCGCCGGCAACTGCTGCTGCTGCTGCTGCAGCGGCGGCGGCGACCACTGCCAGTGGGTGGGATAGTGGTACGCCTGCGGAAACGACAGCGGCGGCGGCGGCATCAGGGAAGCCGGGAAGCTGGCGCCGGCCGCCGCCCGGCGGGCGTCCGGCTCGGCGGCGGCCGCCAGAGGCACAGCAGCAGGCGCGCTCCCCGCTGTGGGAGCCCTGGCCGCAGCCTGCCCCGCCTTGCTGCCGCCGTCGGCCCCCGGCTGGCCGCCGCTGCCCGTGCGCTCGCCCTTGGGGCCGCCGCCGTTGGCCGACGCAGAGCCGTCGCCGTCGCCGCCGCCGCCGCCGCCGCCGTTGATGCTGCCGTTGCTGCTGCCGTTGGCGTGAGAGGACGCGCCGCCGTTTGCCGGCGCCGCGAGCTGTCCCAGGCCGTGATGCTGAAACCCGTTGTGGTGGTGATGGTGGTGGTGGTGGTGGCCGGCGGAGTGATGCTGCTGCTGCTGCTGCGCCTGCTGCTGCTGCTGCTGCTGCTGTGTCAGGTGTGGCAGCGCCCAGCCCATCGGCACGTAGCCTTGCGGCATCCACGCGCCCCGCGCCCACGCGTCATACTGCTGCTGCTGCTGCTGCTGCTGCTGCTGGCGCCGCGCCGCGTCACCGCCCTCCTCTGACGGACCGCGCGCAGCGGCAGGCGCGGCCGACGATGGCACGTCCTGCGCCGTCCCGGCTGTGTCGCGGGCCCCCGAGTCGCCAGCGACGCGTGTGTTATCAGTGCCATGCACACCAATGCCATTGCTGCCGCTGCCGTCGCCGTTGCTGCCGCTGCCGCTGCCATTGCTGCTGCTGCCGTTGCTGCTGTGGCTGCCGTTGCTGCTGTGGCCGCCGCTGCCGCCAGTCGCCGCTGCCATCTCATCATCGTATGACATGCTCCCCAGCGGCGTCACCACGGCCGGCGTCGCGCTGCCGCTGCCGCTGCCGCCCCCATCAAGTGCCTCCGGCGGCGCGCCCGGCGGCTGCAGGTGCGGCGGGGGCACGCCCCAGCTGAAATGGGCGCCATAATATGGGGCCGACGGGCCCGCGGCGAAAGGCCCTAACGGCGGGCCGTGGCTGTGACCGAGGCCATAAAGCCCCGGCGGGTGCGGCAGCGGCGCGGCCGCCGCGGCGTGGTGCAGGCCAGGGGCCCCTGCGTAGGCGGGGGCCCC